AATAGTCATCACTACAATCGCCTTTAATACAATCATCATCAATCGAATCGCCTCAACTACAATCATCATCAATCGAATCACCATCACTACAATCATCATCAATCGAATCGCCTCCACTACAGCTTTCATTTCAGTCATTTGCCATCGTCTTTGTTTGTGACTAAGCGTATGTTGTGCTAAAATAAAATCAACTGCACAGTCGTGGCGACAACACTAACTATGCAGCCTTAAATACTCCGACTCAAAGACACACACCCCTTCCCCTCCCTCCCCGCCCCGCCCCTACACCGCAGAAGTGGTATATACAGGCAGCTATTGGCAGTGTGTTATGCGATATATTCTTGAATGTGATTAAGTTTGAGACCCCGATTGTGTGGGAGGGGGTGGGAGCATAGACTCACGGCGCTCTACAAAACACACCGTAAAAGGCTGTTAGTTCAGAGGTGTTTCTGTCGAAGTCTGTCTGAGGGGCGAGGAACCAACAGTCTGCACACATATAAGGCGGATGTGCATGTGAAACTCAGGTTCTGAAACAAGACTAAAGTCCTTAAGTGGGTGAACATCCAGAACTTTCCCCGGGGTGTAACGCCGGTAAACGCTATAAAGAAGAAGAAGAAAAAGAAAAAGAAGAAGAAGACAAAACAAGAAGATGAACTACCCCTAACCCCAACCAATAGCACCCAAAGAATATTGGACTTACCCGGCAACTGCCAGGTTTCTTTTGTTTGGGGTGAATTAAAAATTGAATACTTAAAACATACCCTGCAGCCTTGTTTGGTTTCAGTAGAGAGTTTTTTGTTTTGTTCTTACTCCGTGTGGGTTTTGGGGCTGCATTGTGGGGGGAAAACAAGAATAGACCCACTGCTTCCCCAAACAAGCATGTCGTAAGAGTCGACTAATTGGGGGGTTTTTCTTCAAAGTCAGAGTGCATCTACGTGAGCGGCAAGGAACCAACAGTCTGCATACAAATAATTCAGATCTGTGAAATGGATGTGCACGTAACACTCATGTTATGGAACAAGTCAAAAGTCCAGAGGTGGACGAACAACCAGATCTTTTTAGCTTAAAGCCAGGGAAGGCGAAGAAGAAGATGATTCATCATCATCATCTGGTGCCTTGCCGACTGGCGTGGGCGATCATGCCTCCCCATACTCCACGATCTCCTGCAGCATGTATCAGTTCGTGTGCCGATACACCTCCATGCCATGCAACAAAACTGTCAAAAATCTTCTCTCGTTGTCTTCTTCTATCCCTCCTTCCACAGATCTTTCCAGTGGTCACAACATGTTCTAATTTCCCTCTTCTCATAAAATGGCCGTAAAATGATGACTGTCTCCTTCTGATGTCTGTGATAAGTTGTCTTCGGGCTCCCCCCTCTTTCAAAACCTCTTGGTTGCTCTTTTTGACTTTCCAAGGTATTCTAAGCATTCTTAGAAGATGATTGATGTAAAAATTACTACTTACAGTTGCCTCCAATGTCTGGTTGTGTTGATGGTGTAAAATAAATACACCAACAATAGTAGCAGACTTGCCGCAACTACAAAAATATGTCGAATGAACAAGAAAAGACAAACGACGTGTTTATCTCGTAGAGCGAGAGACATTTCCGGATGTTGCTTGGCTTCAGTGCAAACTGGTGCTGTGTTAGTAAAAAAGATAGTCTTTAGTTATCTGCTGTTTCTGTTGGTGTTATTATTGTTGTTAATGCTGTATTGTTGTTGCGGTTGCTGCTGCTGCTGTTGTTGCTGATGTTGATCTTATTCCAGTTGTTCTTTTTATTGCTTTTTATTGTCGTTGACATGATCCTCCTCATCCTCCTCCTTATCTTCGTCATTACCCTTCGCAGACTGTTGGTTCCTCGCAGATGCACTTCGAGTTCAAAACACACCTGTTTAGTCGCCTTTTACATGCTCATCTCCCCCCCCACCCCACACTCCACCACACCTAACCCACAAAATGAGCCACAGATCTCACACTGGGAGACTTTCTTCCAGGAATCCTACACTCATTATCATCAAGTACTTTGCCGACTGGCATTATTTGGATATTTTCTCCAGGTACTGCCGGTGCGTTGGGAAATGAGCAGGCAGATAGACTGGCCGGCTCTGTACCGCTTAGTGGTGAACTGATGTATGACAAGCTGGATGTTATGAGGGCTATTTGGGAGCGAGTGAACAGTGCAGAGGCACAGATGGATCATTACGGTCTGAGGAGAATGGCGCTGCGAGCAGTTACATTGAGATCTGTCCGGCGCTCAACACTCAGGCTAAAGAGCGAGACGGATATACAATCTGACAGGTACTGGTGCCATCGGAATTGGAATTCTTCGCTGGCTGCTGAAGATGGAGACGGAGCGCTTTTAGGGGTGTCCCGAGTGCAATGATATAGATTCTTAATTCAACATTCTCTGCAGGCTGAGCGACGTTTAACATGGTCAGAATACCCAAGGTTTCGGGACAGAATGCTGTTTATTAGCCAGTTCTCCATGATGGTTAGATTATGTAAGATGTCGGGGTTTCTCTTCTTCTTGGTCCAGAACATCCAGCTTAAGAATGGAGGTGGAGGCGGTCACTGCAGCTTTCCCCTGGTCAGAGAGTACGACACGACACGCAGGCAAGCACGCACTCACGCACACACACACACACATCGTGATTGTAACTGACTCAGAAAGCATGCTGAGGAAGATCAGGACAAGCATGCTTCGTGCAGAGTGGCATGCCTCGCTGAGGAGGACACGGGTGAGAAGTATTGTCTAGATTTTTTCATCGCGGCACGCCGGTGTGTTGGGAAATAAACAGGCGGACAAACAGGCTGGCTCTGCATAACTTGGTGGAATACTGATGTATGATAAGGCAGACGTGGTTAGTGCCTTGTAGAAGAGCTTGTACAGTTCGGAGGAGCAGATGGATCACCACAGTCTGGTGAGATTGATGCAGTTGGGAGTGACGACACGCTCTGGCAAATGCTCGAGGCTCAGAGGAAAGTCAAGACGGACGTTTAATGAGAATGCTACTGGCACCATTAGTATCGGAACTCTTCGCTGAAGATGGTGACGAAGCGCTTATGGAAATGCCCCGAGTGCTGTGATGTCGGTTCTTCTTAAATCAAATCATGTTCCATGGAATTCCAAGAATGTTTCTGTCGCATTTCAGTTCAAAGATAATCCTCCTATAGTGCTAATGTCAGTTGAATACAAAGTCACGTTTCGATACAGAAATGAACACACGGGCACTGAGTGAGCAGTAAGCATGTTAGCCACTCAACTATCCTTGCTTCTTGTTCATAAAAAATGTCAGTCAATGACAAATTTCCACTCGATGTGGTCTCTTGGGCATATGATTTTAGCGCCATAAAAAAAAAAAAAAAAAAATCGCTTGGCACTTATGTGTTTCAGTGGAAAAGATTAATGTTTTGTGCTTCTTATCTGTTGACGTCAACTTTGTAGTTTATCCTCATTGCACACCGAACCATTCAGCCCATAAGTGGTCAGATCCCCTCTTCAGTAAATCCCGCAGCGTGTAGCCGCTAACGACACAAGTTCACTAGTGGTTTCTCATTCTTCATTGACTTCTTGCATAGCGCCTTTATCTCGCCACAGACCTTTTAACATGTTGTTCTTGGTTGTTGTTGTTGTTATTGATCCAGCGGCGCATGAACTTTCGCCCTTTGGCCCAATGCCATGTAGTGGAATTTGCATGTTTTCGCAAGCTGTTCTTTTCCTCCGTAAAAGGTGTTCCACTTGTCTGGTCTCGGAGGGAGTAGCATTCTTTTAGTCTCGCTGAGAGATGATGTTCAACAGTTTCGTAGTGGTGGTTACACAGCTTGCACTCTGGAGAGTGTTGTGGCTGTATTCTGTTTAGGTGTCCATTGAGTGGAGTATGTTGCGTTCTTAGTCTGTAGATGGTGGCCTGGTCCCTCCTTGTTAGATGGTTAATGCTGTCATTAGGATCAGGGCCAGCCATATGTCTATAAACCTCTCTTCCAGTATCTCCCATGGCCCATCTGTTCAGCCAAGTCTCTTTGTTTATAGCTCTTATAAGTGTTTTTGCTGTCTGTAGGGTTGTCGTTGTAGGTGGTGGTTCTTGTGTTGTTCCTTTCTTTGCCAGCCTGTCAGCTCTGTCATTACCTCGTGTGCCGGAGTGGCCTGGAATCCACTGCATCACTATTCTGATGTTGTAGGAGGTATTAAGCTGATCAGCATCCAGGATTATCTTAGCTATGTCAGTTCTGCAGCGTTCACTGCCTTTCAGAGCTTGAAGGGCAGACATTGAATCTGTGAAGATGACAATATTTTGGGCCTTTGAAGGGTAAACATCTATTACAGTGTTATACTACTGTTTCCAGTGCAATTATTTCAGCTTCATAATTTGAGCAGAATTCTCCGCATGCATCTCTTCAACAGATCCATCAGGGTAACCCATGTAGATTTCGTAACCTGCTTTAATGGTGGCTTTGAATGCAGATCCATCAGTATAGACATGTATCCAGTCTTGGGGGTAAGAATCAATGGTCTTTAGTGATGAGAACATGTTGTTCTTTCAGTCTGGTCATGGTTACAGATTGAGTCATCGCATGCTTCTCTCAAACGTTTTACTTCTCGCAGAGCATTCAGTACATCAGCCTGGTGGTCCATGGTTCCTCCGCCCTCCACTGTAGCTGTACCTGCAAGCCTATCAGCGTTCTCATTTTCGTACACACCTGTTTGCCTTGACACGGAACACCAGCGCACACGCAGACTACCTCAGGCGATAAAGTGAAATATGCCAGGCAATAAAATTGTGAAATACATTGTTTGTGTCCGCATTATTTAAAATCGGCACTTGGTCAACTACACTGACCGCCTTCGCTTCCCACACATTTCACGATACCAATTGTAAGTTGGGTTTCCCGTGAAATCAGTGTCATTAGAAAATAACATATCGCCTCGATAGGAGTTGGATCACATGACCAAGATGAGATGGCAATAGTTCTGGTTTTTGCACCATCATCGCTGTCTGACCTTACAAAGTGCAGTGTTTATTATTCATGAGCAGGGTCGAGTGTTGCTTGCTAGGCTGGTCAACAATCCCTGTCGATGACTTGTGAAAGACGCCGTCCAGTCTAGCAGAAGCTGCACTGACCCGGTCCATGACTGACTTCAGCATGTCTAGAAGCGTGGTCCGAAAGTCCCGGGACATGATGCAGTACAGCAGAAAGTTGATTCCGTTGTTAACTAGCGCGACCATATCCATAACATCTCCAAGGGGCACGTAGACCTTCAGGAAAAAGCCGGTGATGGTGGCGGAGAGAACGATGAGGACCGCTTGAGGGAGCTCCGTGACCAGAAACAGGGTTATGACAACCAGCAGCATGCGCGTTGTTCGAGAATTATCCCGATGACGTGTCAGCTGTCGATTCCCTCTTCCGGTTAATGGCACCGTTGAAGAACAGCAAGAATTTGACGGCAAGAAAATGGCCGGTTTTGTTAAATAGACCAGTGTGGTGGAGTTGTTAGCATTGATGGTCAACTGCGAGTTGCAGCTGGGTAAGTGGTTCTTGTGGTCCTCATGGTTCTGCCCAGCACTGTTTTTCTGCTGAATGGAGTTCTTTGCAAGAAGTTTAGAACGTGGCTCGCTAGTTTCTTGTTCCTGAACCGAAGATGGCTCTCTGGTAGAGATTTTACTGAAAGAGCTGTTGCCTGCGTTTCGGCGGGCTACCATTCGAATGTTGGTCCGGAGAGTCTTCACCAGCAACCCTCCATAGACGACCATTAAGATGCAAGGCAGTAGTTTGGCCAGGGCGCTGTGCAGCAGCAGGCTCGCCTGCGCCAGCGGTTTCAGGTCCTCGGTTTCCATGTTGACAGGCTCAGGGATGAACATCGTTTCCGTTTCGTTGGTTTCTGCGGAAAAAAGAAATTCGGAGTCATTCGACCGTAGAAACATTGTTATTCTTCTTCTTCTTCTTCGCGTTCACCAGCTGTACACTCTGGCGGAAAGTTCTGGTTGCTCGTCCACTACTGAACTGCAGTCCTGCTCAAGAAACTGAGTGTTGCGTGTGCATCAGTTTTACAGATCTCACTCTCTTGAATACAGACTGTTGGTTCCTTGCCTCTCCGGCAGATGCACTCCGACTTCAAAGGAAGCTCCCCAGTTAGTCGACTCTTACGACATGCTTTTGGGGAGGCAGTGGGTCTATTCTTGTTTTCCCCACAATGGGGCCCCGGAACCTACACGGACGAATTGTTATTATAACATATAGTATACAAATCAACTAATGGTAAACTATCTTTGTATGAGTCTAAAAGATAAGGACAGATTAAATATAGTTTACATCATATCATCATCGTGAACTACTCCTGCAGTTAAGCGGCGTGGGGAGGAATATTTTGCGATCCAGTGCACACTGGCTGCTAGTGGCTATTGTCATGCCGTGAAGGCGTAAAGTGACTTTGATGTTGTCGATCCATATTTTCGCAGCCGTCCTCTTGCCCTTGTAGCCGATCTTTTGGGATGTGGTGCCAGTGATGGTATTTGATCTTGCTGCATTCTAACGAGATGACCAAACAACCTGATCCGCTGTTTTTCGACGAATCTGGAAAACGTTGTCGCTCCCACAATCTGTCTGATGGTCTGTCCAGCTGTCATTAACCGTTCCTCTCGCGGGGTTTGTTTTCCATAACAACCCAATATCCTTAAAGCTTATCCTGCTCTTGCCCCCCCACCCCCACCCCCCAGTTCCAGGACCCCATTTAGGGGGCACAACAAGAATACACCCACTGCCATGTTACAAGCATGTCGTAGGGTATTATTAGGGATGTTTCTTTTGAATTCGGAGTTCATCTGCATGAGAAGCAAGGAAGCAACAATCCGCAAACAAGTAAGCTTCATCTGTAAAACAGATGTGCACCTACAACTCAAGTTCTGGAGCAAGACCAAAGTCCATAAATGGACGAACAACCAGAACCTTATACTGCAGTTATCAGCCAGTGAACGCAAAAAAAACAAAAAAAACAAACAAACAAAGAAGACGTTAATCCAATGAAGCGTTGAAAGGAGGTTAAGGATCTTGTGTGTTCTTTCTTTCTTTACGGAATTTTTGTCTTCGCAGACGAGTATTACATTATGCTTCATGGAGGCTTTTTGACGTCCCCATGGCGATGGCGAGTATGACTAGCAAAACTGCTAACGTTGAGAAAAGCCTTCCATAATTATAACATACGATTTCAGGATCCTTGTTGCTATTGCACGTATCTACCATTCTTGGTCTTAGACGTTCAACCTATCATTTATTTTTCTCATTTGTTCCTATTCCCTTCCTAATTTTCTCATTGCTCTCAATCTAAGGCATCCTGTTTGTACGAATCCACCACAATACCAATATCATTCATGTCTCGCTGATAGTATCTCTTTATCTTAGCCGATGTCGACTTCTACATTGTCTGCCCATATGCCTTGTTTACACGAAAGGAAAGTTAACACCAGTGCGTTTGGAACAGAACATGTTGACTTAGAACCAACACCTTCTCCTTCTTCTTCTTTCCTCCACTCCTAGAATGCCTCGCGGCGTCAGGACAGGACGAGATCTCTGGAACGGGCCCTTCTGTTCGCTTCGTTTTTAGTACTTTCAGTGTCTCTCGTATTTCTGCGGTCCATGGTCGTCCTCTGGTTCTGTTACCGCTGTATCTGTACCAACACCTCAATCTGTTAGAGGTGTCTAGAACATTTAAGAATTATGATTTGAATATGCTGAATTACAAATTCACATTACAGCTGAATTACAAATTCACATTACAGCTGAATTACAAATTCACATTACAGCTGAATTAAGAATTCACATTACAGCTGAATTACAAATTCACATTACAGCAGAATTACAAATTCACATTACAGTAGAATTACAAATTCACATTACAGCTGAATTACAAATTCACATTACAGCTGAATTACAAATTCACATTACAGCTGAATTACAAATTCACATTACAGCAGAATTACAAATTCACATTACAGCAGAATTACAAATTCACATTACAGCAGAATTACAAATTCACATTACAGCTGAATTACAAATTCACATTACAGCAGAATTTCAAATTCACATTACAGCTGAATTACAAATTCACATTACAGCTGAATTACAAATTCACATTACAGCTGAATTACAAATTCACATTACAGCTGAATTACAAATTCACATTACAGCTGAATTACAAATTCACATTACAGCAGAATTTCAAATTCACATTACAGCTGAATTACAAATTCACATTACAGCTGAATTACAAATTCACATTACAGCTGAATTACAAATTCACATTACAGCTGAATTACAAATTCACATTACAGCTGAATTACAAATTCACATTACAGCTGAATTATAAATTCACATTACAGGACTCGCTAGATTCTATCTCGCCTTTCCTTTCAGCGCTAAGCTTTCCGGCAGAGCCCCTGGTCACTTCAGGTAGTACCGTTCACCTCACACAGTGAGGATCCATTTGTGCTTTAGCATTGTTTACTCTCTCCCAATAGGACCCTCACAACGTCTAGCTTGTCATGCATCGATTCACCGTCAAGCGGTGCAGAACCAGCTAGTCTATCTGCATTTTTGTTTCCCATCATATTGGAAGTTACCTGGAGAAACTATTTACAGAAAGCTTCTGCCCCGAATCTCCATACATTATACAAACGAATTTCTTCTTCATTTGAACGTATGAATGAATGAATGAATGAATGAATGAATGAATGAATGAATGAATGAATGAATGAATGAATGAATGAATTAATGAATGAATGAATGAATGAATGAATGAATGGATGAGTATGAACTGACCAGGGTTGTTGTAGGAGAGTTCCTTGAGCCGGTTCATCAAGTAATTGGGAATCATCACCAAGACGGACAAGATGACCACCCCAAAGACGGCAATCCGCGCCCGGATCAGGCGCCTTGCTCGCGTCAGGTGACCTTTGGCTGGAGAGAAGATGTGTTTGTACCTGCAACAGAGAGAATCATCAGTGGGATCAGTTCTGTTGTTCTGTTTATTCTATCATCATTTATCATCACCATCATCATTATTCATCATTATCATCATCATCATTCATCACCATCATCATTCATCATCATCATCATCCATCACCATTCATCATCATCATCCATCATCATTCATCATCATCATTCATCATCATCACCCATCATCATCATCATTATTATCATCCATCATCATCATCATTTATCATCATCATTTATCATCATCATCATTCATCATCATCATTTATCATCATCATTCATTATTATCATCATCACCATCATTATCGCCACCATTCATCATTATCATCAGCATCATCATCATAATTCATCATCATCATCATTATCATCAAGTGTCTTGCCGACTGGCATGGGCGATCATCATCAGCATTCTAAAATCGCACTCAACCTCCTTCACCTGGATCTACACATTCGGGTCTCCCCGGTGTAAAGGGAAATGAATGAGCGGATCAACTGGCAAGTGATGCACCGACGCGAGTGTGGAGAAGCTCGGACAGAGCAGATATCGTCAACCCTGTACTGACTGGACTAATGGATAATGAGGAATCTCTTATACTAACACGATTGCGTGACATGGAATTAAGCATGGCCAAACACGCCTATGCCGCCTTCGAGTCTGAGTTAGAAGACATAACCAGCTGCTCATGGAAACAATCAGTAGATGTAGCTTGAAGTGGCTGCTGCATCGGGGGACTGATCACGCATGGGAAGTCGATAGTGATAACATATCATAACATATAACCAACATGCACGGGTCCTTAGGCTGATACCCCTCCATGGCATGCAAACAAAATACTGACAAGAATATTCTCTCGTTGTCTTCCCATGTCTCCCTTTCCACAGATCTTTCCAGTGGTCACATCTTGGGACTATGTCCTTCCTTTTTTCATAACAAAAAATGACGACTGTCTTGTGGTATGAGAATGTTGAATTAAGAATCGACATCTTAGCACTCGGGACACTCCCATAAGCGCGTCGACCCCAGCTTCAGCAGAAAGCTAACAGATCCAATTACGATGGTACCAGTAACTGTCTGATTGTACATCCGTCTCGCCATTTCCTTGAGTGTTGAGCGTCGGCCAGATCCCCTGGTAACTCCTCGCAGCGCCATTCCTCTCAGGCCGTAATGATCTGTTTGTACCTCCGCACTGTTCACTCGCTCCCAAAGGGCCCTCACAACATCCAGCTTGTCATACATCAATTCATCACCAAGCGGTGCAGAAACAGCCAGTCTATCTGCCTATGCGCTTCCCATGACACTAGTATCACCCGGTGGGAGAGAGAAATGCTTGAAAGTGCTAAATGTAAAATGGGCCTGCGTGCCAAATTTTTATTAGTGTGAACAAAAACAAAAGTCATTTTGTTCGTTCGTTCGTTCATTATCCTTCTAACCCCGCTAGATTGCACAGAACATCTACTCTTATCAGTGACAACAGTTTCCGTCGAGTGTATGCCTCATGGCTAGTCTCTGGCACCGAACTCGGGTCCTGGAAACACGTGGGTGGTAGCTCTTGTTGACGCCACAACGACATCAAGAGTTTATTTATGTCTCGGTACCAGTTGGACGCCATTTTGACCTTTTCATAACCGTCACATCCTGGTTTGGGCGATTCCGTAATCACGTGTCCCCAGGTCACGTGACGGACATGGCCGTCTGTGTGTGGTCATTAGAATATTTCAGGAACGAGGTTTTCATGCCACTTTTGTAGATAATTACAGACATCTATTTCTTCTACCTATTTTGATGTTGCAATGTATTCTCACTCTCCTCGTCATCTTCATTATTTTCTTCTTCTTCTTCTTCTTCTTCTACTTCTTCTTCTTCTTCTTCTTCTTCTTCTTCTTCTTCTTCTTCTTCTTCTTCTTCTTCTTCTTCTTCTTCTTCTTCTTCATCTTTTTCTTCTTCCGTTGCTGCAGTACGACCTTGTTGACTTTATCTTCGTAGTCCTTCTCCTCCGCCTCCATCTTCTTGTTTCTTTTTCTTCTTTTGCCCCTCCTCTCCCCGCCTGCTCTTGCTAACGCCGATGGTCTCCTTAACCTCATTTAGACCTTCAGCGGCGGGTGTTCCTCTCCTCCTCTGCTGGATCTATTGTCTCAATGTCTACAGCTGGTTATAGGGTTTTTAGATGTGAACTTTTTCAAAGATTTGTCTAGGCATTTTTTTCAGGGTTTTCCAGTACACAGTTTCAAAGATTGTGAGTATACGTTCGCCGAATCTTTTCATGGTTTCACGGTTCGTAATTGTAGGATGTCAGGGTTCGTCTGTATCTTGTCTCATTGAATATTGTGTTTGAAATCACCGAAGTTTAACAGTTATCTGCCCAGGGTCTCGGGAGGGGGTGGGGTTGTCAATATATATTATCAGAGTATGATGGTATGTGTTCTCATATTTCAGGATTTTCACCGGTACTACGAAGCCAGTGCACTGTACTGAGCTACCTCGGACTCAGACTTGAGTTAGAAGTAGAACGGAGCACTTATGGGTTACTACCCGTGTGCCAAGATGTTAATACGTTGTTCAAACCTCATGGTTTAATGACACGTGTGCTTCTGGGCATGTTCACATGTTTTCTCACGGTAAATCTGTTCTCATGGTATGCCTGTAGGTGTTTTCATTACCTGGCCGTATGTGTTATGAGTATATGAAAGTAAGTGTTTTCATGCTTTAATGAAATATTCTCACAGCATGACAGTATGAGTTGAGGGAGAGGGGTATAAAGGTATGTGGGTTCAGGGTTGACGATATGTGTCATGGTATGCCTGTAGGTGTTTTCATTACCTGGCCGTATGTGTTATGAGAATATGAAGGTAAGTGTTTTCAAGCTTTAATGAAATATGATCACAGCATGACAGTATGAGTTGAAAAAAGGGGGGGGGGGTATCAAGGTAAGTAGGTTCAGTGTTGACGATATGTGTCATGGTATGCTGATGCAAGTACAGGACGTCTACCGGCACCTACCTGAACATGGCCAGCGTGACCCCCAGCCAGATGCTGATGGTGTGGGTGGTGGAGGTGAAGTCCGAGTGGAAGATCAGGAACGTCATCCAGCCTGGGGAGAGGAGGATGTTTGACAAGTTGTGGGAACAGGAGGCAAGTTGTGGATACATGGGGCAAGTTGTGGTAACATGGGGCAAGTTGTAGGAACATGAGGCAAGTTGTAGAAACATGAGGCAAGTTGTAGGAACATAAGACAAGTTGTAGGAACATGGGGCAAGTTGTAGGAACATGGGGCAAGTTGTAGGAACATGGGGCAAGTTGTAGGAACATGAGGCAAGTTGTAGGAACATGAGGCAAGTTGTAGGAACATGAGGCAAACTGATGGCGTGCATGTGTCTGTCTGTCCTTGTGTGTGTATGTGTGTGTGTGAGAGAGAGAGAGAGAGAACGATAGAGAAGATACTATGAGGAGGCAGGAAACAAAACTGAATGAGTGAGACAGAGTGAGAGAGAAAGACGGAGAGAGGAAAAAGTGATAGTTATATACACTGACAGATCGATAGAAAGAGGAGCGGAGAGAAGAGCGACAGAGTAGGAGGAGAAGAAAGGGAAGAGAACGAACGAACGAACGAACGAACGAACGAAGAACGAACTTTATTTTCAAAGGGTTACAAATTAGGCACGCAGGCCCGTCTGACATTCGGCCCTTTAAAACTCTCATATTTCAGAGAAAGGATAGGAGCACTAAGACTATTAAAAAAAAAAGACGTGGAAGAAAAGAAAAGATTACCAAAAAAAAAAAATAGTTCAAAGATAATATTAATAATAATAATAATAATAATAATAATAATAATAATAATAATAAAAAGAAGAAGAAGAGGAGGAAGAAGAAGAAGAAGAAGAAGAAGAAGAAGAAGAAGAAGCAGAAGAAGAAGAAGAAGAAGAAGAAGAAGAAGAAGAAGAAGAAGAAGAAGAAGAAGAAGAAGAAGAAGAAGAAGAAGAAGAAGAAGAAGAAGAAGAAGAAGAAGAAGTAAAAGAAGAAAAAGTAAAAAAAAAAAAAAAAAGAAGAAGAAGAAGAAAGAAGAAGAAGAAGAAGAAGAAAGAGGAAAACAGAAAAGGAAAGATAAGTAAATCAAGAAACATAATTAGTAAAAGAATAAGAAAGAGAAGGAGAAAAAGGGAGAAAAAAAAAGAGGAATGGCAGAGTCAGAAAGAGAAAAGAAGACCTAGAAAGAGAAGAAGAGCAACCACAAGTTGAAGAAGAAGCAGCGACAGACAACTGACATCACTCACTCAAGGAGTTCCTCTCTGGCGACATGTTCCATGTTAAACAATAGAAGTGCAGTGAAAACGGCACGTACGAGGTCATGGTCAGAAGGTCAAAGATCGCCAGCCAGGTTAAAATACAGTTCACAGGTGTTCGCATCTTCTTCCGGGTCAGGATGCTAATGTTGAGGACATTCATGGGGATCCCAAAGGCGCAGACTACGAGACTCAGAACCCCGTGGATAGAGCTGTAACTGCTGGTTAGCTGCTCCAGCGTGGAAGGCGAGTAGCCGGGGTTCGAATCTTCAGACATGTTGATGGAGTTATAGTAGAGGCTGTAGTCATGGTTGTTTGCTAAAAGGGAGCTGTTTTGCTGAGAGGTCAGACCCCTGGATCTATTGTTGATGTCGATGTTCAGAAACATGGTTGCAGGGTCGCTCACACACGATGGCCCATACACTGGTTCACTTGGGGAGACGCCTCTGTAAGACAAAAAACAGAATTAGATTAGACATTCTTTGTTGTGGGGACATACATGTGGCTGTGAGTCAAGAAGCAGGTCACATCTTTGTTGTGGGAACATACATGTGGCTGTAAGTCGAGGACCAGGTCAAAGTCATTTCTTCTTCTCCGTCTGCCTGTCAAAGTCTTTTACACGAGATGGCTACATGACTCTATGAAGTCTGTGGTACGACGCATACCTTCCACTGCTCCATGCAACTGTGTCACCACTGGAATGACAACCGGACAAACCTGAGATCTCTCTCCTGAATGTAGAGAACACGTCTGTAGCACATGTTCTGTACCCTATGGAGATTTTCCACATGGACAAAGTGTTCAGTCTCCAATCTTTGAATTTCTTCTACGTATGGCTGCAAAGTCTTTTATGTCCGGCACGCAATCTTAATATTATGATCTGTGTTGTTTTGTGTGTATTTGTGTGTGTGTCTGTGTGTGTGTCTGTGTGTGTGTAAGGAGGTTGATTAGGGCTTCACGATTGTGTCACAATCCCAGTAAAAAACAATCAGGGTTTGGGAAAATGGAGGTGTTACAGACAAACTCTGGATGGAAAGATTTATTGCGCCACCAACGTGAGCACCAAGACACAACAGGGGGATGGTGGTGATGACGACGACGAGGAAGCTGGTATTTGCATTTTAAATTTTACTGTGGGGAAAAAAGGCGGAACGGGGAAAGGGGGGGGGGGGGCAGGGGTAGACTAACTAAGCAAGTAGTTCAAGAGGACTAGTTAATGCAACGGTAAAACTGGATGTGTTGGGCTGATAGAAGAAGAAGAAGACGAAGACGAAGACGAAGACGAAGACGAAGACGAAGACGAAGACGAAGACGAAGACGAAGACGAAGACGAAGAAGAAGAAGAAGAAGAAGAAGAAGAAGAAGAAGAAGAAGAAGAAGAAGAAGAAGAAGAAGAAGAGAAGAAGAAGAAAGAAGAAGAAGAAGAAGAAGAAGAAGAAGAAGAAGAAGAAGAAGAAGAAGAAGAAGAAGAAAGAAGAAGAAGAAGAAGAAGAAGAAGAAGAAGAAGAAGAAGAAGAAGAAGAAGAAGAAGAAGAAGAAGAGAAGAAGAAGAAGAAGAAGAAGAAGAAGAAGAAGAAGAAGAAGAAGAAGAAGAAGAAGAAGAAGAAAGAAGAAGAAGAAGAAGAAGAAGAAGAAGAAGAAGAAGAAGAAGAAGAAGAAGAAGAAGAAGAAGAAGAAGAAGAGAAGAAGAAGAAGAAGAAGAAGAAGAAGAAGAAGAAGAAGAAGAAGAAGAAGAAGAAGAAGAAGAAGAAGAAGAAGAAGAAGAAGAAGAAGAAGAAGAAGAAGAAGAAAGAAGAAGAAGAAGAAGAAGAAGAAGAAGAAGAAGAAGAAGAAGAAGAAGAAGAAGAAGAAGAAGAAGAAGAAGAAGAAGAAGAAGAAGAAGAAGAAGAAGAAGAAGAAGAAGAAGAAGAAGAAGAAGAAGAAGAAGAAGAAGAAGAAGAAGAAAGAGAAGAAGAAGAAGAAGAAGAAGAAGAAGAAGAAGAAGAAGAAGAAGAAGAGAAGAAGAAGAAGAAGAAGAAGAAGAAGAAGAAGAAGAAGAAGAAGAAGAAGAAGAAGAAGAAGAAAGAAGAAGAAGAAGAAGAAGAAGAAGAAGAAGAAAGAAGAAGAAGAAGAAGAAAGAAGAAGAAGAAGAAGAAGAAGAAGAAGAAGAAGAAGAAGAAGAAGAAGAAGAAGAAGAAGAAGAAGAAGAAGAAGAAGAAGAAGAAAGAAGAAGAAGAAGAAGAAGAAGAAGAAGAAGAAGAAGAAGAAGAAGAAGAAGAAGAAGAAGAAGAAGAAGAAGAAGAAGAAGAAGAAGAAGAAGAAGAAGAAGAAGAAGAAGAAGAAGAAGAAGAAGAAGAAGAAGAAGAAGAAGAAGAAGAAGAAGAAGAAGAAGAAGAAGAAGAAGAAGAAGAAGAAGAAGAAGAAGAAGAAGAGAGAAGAAGAAAAGAAGAAGAAGAAGAAGAAGAAGAAGAAGAAGAAGAAGAAGAAGAAGAAGAAGAAGAAGAAGAAGAAGAAGAAGAAGAAGAAGAAGAAGAAGAAGAAGAAGAAGAAGAAGAAGAAGAAGAAGAAGAAGAAGAAGAAGAAGAAGAAGAAGAAGAAGAAGAAGAAGAAGAAGAAGAAGAAGAAGAAGAAGAAGAAGAAGAAGAAGAAGAAGAAGAAGAAGAAGAAGAAGAAGAACAACAACAACAACAACAACAAACAACAACAAGCAGGAGGGGAAGGAGGAGGAGAAGGAGGAGGAGAAGAAGAAGAAGAAGAAGAAGAAGAAGAAGAAGAAGAAGAAGAAGAAGAAGAAGAAGAAGAAGAAAATGAAGAAGAAGAAAAGGAAACAGTAGAAGCATAAAAAGAATACTAATAATAATAATAAGAAGAAGAAAATAAAAAAGCATCAAGAAGTATAAGTCCAAATGTAAAGTACTTCTGCACTCTCTGCAAGAAGAAAAAAGACTAGACAAAACCAGATATATTTTTTGCATCTAAAAAAAAAAAAAAAAGAAATCGCAAAAATAATAAAGAGTCAAAGTAGGTCGCACCCAAAAATAAATGACGAAAGGCTAAACGAATAAAACAAATCAAAATAAACAAAAAAGACAAATCATGTGATAAGCATATTTACAACGTTTATAGATGGCAGGTCTGACTCTCGAAAACACACCCAACATGGCGTTTCAGAAATTTCCGGCCGATGTCCGCACAAGCAGCGGAAGTTGATTTCAGTAAATATTCTGCTGAAATGTCTGCTGGACGTGACCGGAACTCCGCAATGCCCAGAATGCATCTGGCAGTTGTCAAGTGGAGACAATCGATAAGGATAATTTGTTTAAACATTTGTTTTCTCTAGTGCAAAAAAGTTTAATTGCTGAACTGTTTTCGTGAAATCATGATAAACAACACACGAGGACATGTGGTTGTGGGAACATTTGGCGTGTATAATCATCATCATCCCGTACCACTACATGTCGTTGTGTCACCAGTTTCTGTTGACTGTCTGATCAGCTCCCTTCACCTTTGGCAGTCAGTTGCGATGGACTTCATGGTTGCATACCTGAGGCCTGTCCAGTCAGTCAGGTTCTGTAACCAGGTCTTTCTTGGTCTGCCTCTTCTCCTCTACTGAGCCCTGCAGTATTGTTTTTGAGAGGCCGTTAGATCTTATTACAAGCCCACACCACTGCATTTTTTTGCCTTTTCACTGTATTTAAAAGAGGTTCCTAGTTGCCAATATGCTAAAAAAAATGTATGGCGAACCTCTTCGTTTGTAATGTGGTCTTTGTATGATATGCCAAGAATTTTTCTGAAACATCGCATTTCTAAGGCTTTTATATTTCTCTCAAGTTCAGCTGTTAAGGTCCACGTTTCACAGCCACACGTTAATGTATTAATAGCTAGTGCTCTGAGCAATCGAATCTTAGTTTAGCATGAAAAACACTCTTAAACAACACCCTTACACAACACACTTATATAACACAATTACACAACATTCCTACTTAATACTCTAATGATCACGTGTCTCTTTTACACAGCCTTCATAATACCACTCTTATGTTACACTGTGACATAAAAGACGAATATAAAAGAAGACTCAGCGGATCAACATCATGGCACAGGGGTATTAACCCATAAGTGCTACGGTATACTTATACTCAAGACTGAGTCCGAAGAATCTCAGCGCAGTGCACGAAATCCATAGCAGCTGCGACCATCCTGAAATACTTTGGGTAGATTTTTACTCCAAATTGTGCACGAGCAGTGCCGTTATGCTACTTTTTTTCTTTTTCCAACTCCCAAGGGATTTTTACGTGCGCAACAATACATACGGGGGTCTGGTCTTACTACCCAGAGACCGGGGGAAATTACTAGAAGTCCACGGGAAAAAATCCCGGCCTTCAACCGGACCTGAGCCCGGAACCTCCTGCACTCGAGGCGGACGCCATACCTCGAGACCACGCAGCCCCTTGCATGAAGGTTCTTACATATCATGGTCGGACAGCCAGGTTGTCAGGGAGGGGATTGAAACTGCAGTGTGTCGTTGTCTAGGAGATGATGTGTCTAGTGAATGCTCTTTGCACACATTCTTACGATGAAATAATTGGGACGAGCCGACACCGACTTCAAAGTATGAAACAGTTTATTGACATCTTGTCACTTACATAAAAGTCCTGTCCGTGACCTAATTAATATACAGCTTGCACACACCACATCAATCAGACTCCAACATGCTGGTTTCGCACACAATCATTGACCAGAGTTCGCACAGATGGATCTGGGTATTCTCATCAACTTCACACAGAATAGCCTGGCTGGTCTTGGCTTCAATGGATGTCGTCGTCTGATCTTCCTCTCGCAGCAATCAGTCTCACGTTGTCATTCTCTCGATCACTCTCCCGTCCTTTCGCTCCGACAGTCAACACATACTAACTCGTACTAACTGGGGTCTGACCTTAGACCCAGCGTTCGTTCCACGTGGCAACACGCGGTTGTTCTTGGGTTCCCGTGGCGACCTGTGGTCGTTCTCCTTTACTTCCACTCGTGATCACTCCCCTATCTTAAAAACCTCGGTTAATCCGAGTATCTGGCTTCTCTCGGTATTCTTGTTAATCTTGGGCTTTCCCCCCAAACTTCCTAATCAGGGTGAAAATATCCCCCCACCCCCTTACAAAACTAATACTAAACATGTTAAAAAATCCTCTCAAATCCTATATATATATAAAAAAACTTCCTTCGTAAACAAACATCGGCGGCCGGTTCACCCATTGACTCGCCGGCAGACGACTTTGTCGTCGGTCAGGACAGTATTTGGGT